ATGGTCTCAGTTCTCGATCAACTCAAACAATTCACTACCATTGTCGCCGACACTGGTGATTTTGACTGTATGTAAATCCATTTGTTAGATTGAATGAATGCCCTCGAAAGGTTTCCTTAATGAATTGAACAATTTCACTTGTCACTTATAATACAGCAATCGCCGAATACAAACCACAAGATGCTACCACAAACCCGTCTTTGATCTTGGCCGCTACCCAAAAACCCCAATATTCCAGGTTGATAGACGATGCTGTCGAGTATGCAAAGGGCAAAGAAGGGTAAGTTTCCATCCAGAGGTTTCACGATGACGATATGTAATGTTCATGTTAACGGTATCTTCGTTACTATAGATCTGTCGAAGAAAAGGTCGAATGGGCTACCGATAAATTGGTACATGATCACTGCGAAAAAAAAAAAAAAAAAAGGAATAATAAAATTGTGCTTTAAGAAAATATTTTCGATTCAACATTTTTTCATCTCCTTTACCTAGTTGATCAACTTTGGTGCAGAAATTCTAAAAATTATTCCCGGACGTGTTTCCACCGAAGTTGACGCCCTACTTTCCTTCGACACCGAAGGTACTATCGCCAAGGCGAAAAGATTGATCGGTCTGTACAAAGAGATCGGAATCAACTCTGAACGTGTGTTGATAAAGATCGCATCAACATGGGAGGGAATCCGTGCGGCCGAAAGACTTGAGAAAGAAGGCATTCATTGCAATTTGACACTGCTTTTCTCATTTCCTCAGGTATTTCCGATCGAAAGAATTGACCACCATTTTTACCAACAAAATAACAACCAAATCACGAATGACCCCCAATTAACATCTTGATTCTTCATAGGCCGTAGCATGTGCCGAAGCGGGTGTAACACTAATCTCACCGTTTGTCGGTCGCATCCTTGATTGGTACAAGAAGAGTACTGGAAAGACTTATACCGCAACCGAAGATCCTGGCGTTCAATCTGTAACCAGAATCTACAATTACTACAGAAAATATGATTATCACACCATCGTGATGGGTGCCTCATTTCGTAACACCGGTGAGATCGAGGAATTGACCGGCTGCGATTTCCTCACCATCAGTCCGTCTTTGCTACGCGAATTGGCAAACGACAAAAAACAGATCACGAGAAAGTTGAGCCCTGAGATCGGTATGCTTCTTATGTTCTAAAGACTTGCACTCTGCAAAACATCTAATTGTCGATTCACATCAAACAATCAATCCAGCGTGCGCCAGCACAGAGCCAAAGGTCTCGTACGATGAGAAAACCTTCCGATGGGAACTTAACGAGGATCAAATGGCAACCGAGAAACTTTCGGAAGGCATTCGAAAATTTGCCGAGGACGGTGGGAAATTGAAGAGTGAGTTGAAGAAACGTTTGGGTTATTAAAAAGGCACACCATAAGCGAGATATGTTCATCTCGTGAAGGTCATTTTTTGTAGTGTTTTATTGTACATCATTGTATTATTAAAAATTTACTATTAAATATGAAACTGCTTGATCTGTGATGTATCAAAAATTTTTACAGCATGTTAACCTAGAAGATTTTTTTCGGTGTGAAATATAAAATTGAGATTCCATTTTTTTGCTACTATTATGCAAGAGGTTTGATCAGTGCATTGCGATGTTTCGATGTGAAAGCGTTCCCAGGCCCATGTATGCATTGACAGAAAACCATGAGCGAAATGACAGTGAAGGATGTTACACCTATTTTCCAATTCAACCTAAATCTGTTACATGTAACTTTCTTGAATTACTAGATTTGTGACGATCGTTAGTGTTATTGGTTTGCCTGTAATAACAAACCTTGCCAAAAAATAACCGTTCTAGGATAGAAAAGTCGGTCCGAATATTTCTGAGATTGACAAATCATAAAATACAATAATATACTGCATATTGTGTGTATGAATTTAATTATTAAATGATAATTTAAGAAATACAAAAATTATTTACGTTTATTGCAAAGCTTTTTCTAACGTAGTCTCTTAATTCTGATACGTGCTCTCGAAGTTTCCAGGCTATATTGTACTCCAGGGCATCGCACGCAGGTTTTTTTTTGTTATGTCATGGGTCAATCATTATGTAATAGTGTAAAGTGAATTTTCCAATGTGTTCAAACAAATCTTTTGAAAATGGTAAATAAAATTTTTATTACGATATGGGGCGCCACGAATTTTTTGTCGCACCAGGTCAGAAGATGATATCAGACGTACGTTGTAATATGTGTGTGTATCTGGGAAGCCAGGGATAGATGTGTAATTCGTGATGCATCAGGCAGTTCGCACAAACATTCGGTCTTTTGAAATTGAAAAAAATGGTTTCTTCTCACATTTTTGTTTGGTCGTGCGAAGTGTCGCAGTGCGCTAATCATAATATAAGTACACTGGTGTTATATTTGTTAATAATAATATGACCGGTAGTCAGATGGTCGAGGAAAACAGGTTATACCAAGCATTCACTAGCATATAGTCAATCTCTGGAAACGTGTTTGTGTGTTGAATGTTAATATGCCACGCGAAAAAGGTGTGGGGAAAGGGATATATGAAGATACTTAAATTGTTGCATGATTGTCC